ATATAAGTAACCAGAGTCACATGTGTAAATAAAAAAGGAAACATCAGTCTTGGACGGAGTGAAACCAACCGAGACCAAGAATGTATGCAACGTATTGAACCAGACCCGAGGAGCCTGCTTAAGACAATAAAGTGACCTTTGCAGCAAACACACATGATCCGGCCGAGCCTTGTCCTCATAGCCCGGTGGTTGCTTCATGTACACAGGCTCTGCCAGATTACCATTCAGGAAGACATTATGGACGTCTAACTACCGAATAGTCCAACCACGGGATACAGCTAAGGACAGAAGGAGCCAAACCGTGGTTGGTTTGACAACTGGACTAAAAGTCTCAAAGAAGTCCTGCCCGGGAACCTAGTTGAAACCCTTGGCAACCAGCCGAGCCTTATACCTTTCTACCATGTCATCCGCCTTCCGTTTCGTTCTGAATACCAATTTGCATCCCACGAGATTCATACCTAGACTGTGACAAACTAGACGCCAAGTATTGTTCTGGAGCAAAGCATTAAACTCCAAATCCATGGCCTCACACCATTCAGGGAACCGAACAACCTGAGAATAACAGGCCTGGTCAGACACGGCTGCTAGAGCAACATGCTGAGTCGGTCCCTGGCTACGAGTGGCCATTACATGAGACCGAGGCGGAACCACCTTACGTGCACGACGAGTCGAACGAGAGACAGCCCGCCCAGCCACCGTGACATCACCCAGGACCGATTCGGACATAATCCGAGAGCTCAAGGCAAGTGAGGCACCACTGGGAACAGAGTCCACTACTGGACCCAAGCCGGACTCCAATGAAGTCGCACACACATTAGTTCCGGATGCCACACGTACATCACCAATAGCCCAAGGGGCAATCGGAATATATCGAGGAATGTGCATAGGCACAGAAGTAGCAAACGGGTAAACAATCTCATCAAACCGTACGTGACGGCAGCTGTCGGCAGATGAAAACCTTGTTAGTAACAGGATCAAGACAACGATAGCCATGAAACGAAGGCGGGTAACCAAGAAACACACAAGGAGAAAACCTATACTGCAATTTATTACGATTATAAGGACGCGGAAAAGGATAACAAAGGCACCCGAAAACACGCAAGAAAGAATAAGAGGGATCGGACCAATGTAGACGGAAGTGGGGACTAACATCATTCAAGACACGAGTAGGCATTTTATTGATAAGATAAACCGTTGTCTCAAAGGTATAATCCCAAAAACATTGTGGAACATAGGCCTGCGCCATTAAAGCCAGACCCGTTTCCAGAACATGACGATGCCGACGCTCTACCCTACCGTTCTGCTCGTGAGTGTAGGCGCATGACTGCCTTTGATTAATGCCTAAAGAAGAGAACATGTTATGTAAACGTTTGTATTCTCCCCCTAAATCGGATTGGATAGATATTATTTTGCGGTTAAAGGAACGTTCAACAAGTGACTGAACTAATCAAAGATTGCATACACGTCAGTTTTAGCACGCATAGGATTGAACCAAACATAACATGTAAAATCATCGACAAACAGGACAAAATGACGAAAACCATTAACAGAAACAAAGGTGTTGGGCCATAAATATCAATATAAATAAGCTCCAAAACATGGGATGTGGTAGTGTCAACACGAGAAAGGGGAAATCGAGAGGATTTACCCATCATTCAAGCACGACAAGAAACTGATGTATCAATAAAACTAGAATTAATAGAAAATGAATTTAAAATCTTACGCATAACACGAGCGTGCGGGTGGCCCAACCGACCATGCCAAATCGAGGAGGACAGACGAGAAGCCACTAATGCAGCCGGACTCGGACGAGACACAAGCCAAGAATAAAGAGCCCCCGTAGCCTACCCTTTATGTAGGGCCGCCCTGGTTGAAAGATCCTTCACAAAGAAACAGTTGGGGTGAAACTCAAAAAAATACACAATTATCCTTAGCAACACGTTGAATAGACAAAAGAGACGCAGATAACCTAGGAACGTAAAGAACATCAGACAAACAAAAAAAAAAAACTTATTATAAGTGGTGACCGAAGCAGAACCAGTACTAACAATAGGTAAGCATTTACCGTCGCCAACACGAAGAGTGTCTGGCCCAGAATAAGGAGCGACGGACATCATCAGTGACGGGTCAGGTGTGGCATGATTAGAGGCACCCGTGTCAGGGAACCAGTGTTGAGTCTCAACAGAACCCGCATCATCCACCGAGTAGGCAACATGGGCTCGCGGACTTGGAGCACCCTCATAGCACCGGAAGCACGTCGACGCCGAATGGCCATCACCACCGCAAATCTGACAATGGAATGCATGGCGACTGCGTCCACCGTCGTCACCGCGCTGCCCTCCAGATCGGCCACCACCTCGCTGAGCAGCCATAGCGACCGTAGCAGCCACCTCGCTGCCATCATCAGCACATATAAATGCTTAAGAAACCAAAAATCGGAAAGTTCACTGAGCGAAATCGGTGCACCCGCGTCAACAAGGTAACAAGAGGCCAATACTCAGCCCGGAGACCTAGAAAAATGTACATGTTCTGATCTTCAAGCGTGATCGGTCGGCCGGCCAGCTCCAAGTCTTCAATCAATACCTGTGCACGGCCGAGGTAGCCGGGAATCGAAGAATCACCCTGCCTCAACGCCTACAACTGACCAACAAGACGGAGAGCACGGGCACGAATCGTTGAACCAAGAATTTGCTCGATCGTTGTCCAAAGGTGTCGAGACGACGTCCTCCCGATCGCAAGTTACATCATTTCGTCCGAAAGAGACGAAATAAGGAGTGAAAGCACAGCCTTGTCTTGTCGGAACCAGGCAGCACGAGTAGCTGAAGGAACCACCGAAATAGCCACCACCTCGCCGTCGGCCGGCACAGCGGGCAGAACATCCGGCGGACATGGCGTGGAGCCATCAACGAACCCCAGTAACCCTCGACCATCGAGGAAGGGTAGCAGTTGCGTTCGCTATAAAAGGTAGTTCCGAGATGTCAACTTGATCGAGACAAAATGGTGATCGGAAGAGAACGACATGTTCGACTGCAACGGCGCCGCGAGAGCAGCCTCGGAGATAGTCCATTCGGAGGAGTTACCGACAGAGCCATCGTCTGAACCGAGAGTTGCTATGAGAACGATCGTAACTTACTGATATCAGATGAGGATTGTAATATGTGAATCAATCAATAACAAGTTTGTACAGGAGAGTATATGAGTACAAGAGTATAAGACATACTACAAGACAAACACTAGTAATGATAGACTCCTAACAGAGAGAAGCCACAGAAAGAAGCAACCACAACTTGCATGACACTACAACAGAGAAGGACCAATGGACCAAGCCTCAACCAGGCTTCCTCAAATTAAATGTCGATGCGGCCATAAATAAAGACATTCTTTGCATGGGATATGGATGGTGTCCTTAGAAATGACCAAGACCATTTTGTTGCAGCACAAGGTTCTCATTGGCGGGGAGTTTTTACTTCTAGAGATCGAAGCAGAAGCTGTGGCAAATTAGAGAAGCTTTCAACTGGCACAAGTCATTGACTTTTCTAAAGGGTAAAATTGTCATTTTCTAATACTTTTTTCTTAAACTTATTTTTTCCCAACCCTTTATCATCCAAGGTTAAAAGTCCATATTTTCTATGCCTCCAAAAAAAAAAAAAATGTATGGCTACAAATTTCATATTAATGCTTCCAAATTGCCAAAAGCAACAAAAAAAAAATTATAGAAACCAAGTATAAATGAACAAAAAGGACGGTAATAAGAATGAGGGTTTAAAAAAAAACATGAAGAAACTTATTTGGGAGAAAAAAATTTAATTAAGAAAAAAGGATTAGGAAAACAACAATTTTACTCTTTAAGATAATTCATTTGCCTAAAATTTTGTCATCGATGGTTGAATTTTAGGTTGGAATGACTAAATAATGTGGTAAGAATTTAAAAATCATGTGAAAAAATCTGAATATTTTAATAGTCAGAAACCACATGTGGTACTGACTTAAGTAATTAGACCAAATCTAAGGACATCCCCAATAGGGATATTTTCATAGATTTTGGAACAGTAAAAAACTAAAGGATTTATTTTTTGCAGGTGCACGTCAGGCTTTTTTTCATAAAAATAAAAAGGATGATTTTTTTATTTTTTCATGTCAAGTTTTTTTTTTTCCCTTTTTCTCTTTCCTCTACCCTCTCTCTCCCATACGGTCGAAAACCAACCTAAAAATCTCACTATTTAAGTTGTTCTAAGAATTTTAATAGTCCAAGACGAAATGTGAAAATGGTAACATATTCATGGGAAAGTGAAAAAAAAAAAAAAAAAAAAAAAAAAAAAAAAAAAAAAAAACTCTTACAAAGGTTAGATCAGCTATTTCATCTTTTAGGCGTTATGCAGTTACTTGGTGGAAGCAACAGGAAGAACACAAGGAGTTTACTCATGATTTACCAATAACTACTTGGGACAGACAAAGGACAAAAAGAGAGTTTACTCATGATTCACCAATAATTACTTGGGACAAACAAAGCCACAAAGGACAATGCTTAGGCATACGTTCCAACCTGTCACAAACTACTTTGAGCTTGAGAAGTAGTTACATAGAATCTGTCAAGGTAATAAGACAATTGAGAGGAGTGAAAATTGGAATTCACCAACAAAACTTTAAGACTTAGAACATTCTCAACAGTTGCGATTTTTAGGAGTTTTTACAGGTGTGACTAGCAAAGAGAAGATGGAATGAGAAGGAAAAAGGGGAAAGAAACAAACAAGCGAAACAAAATCTGTAAAAAATAAAATAAAAAATAAAAAAGTCCCATTAACGCGCCCAGCGAGCGCGTGCATACTAGGCACTCCTGGTGCACCTCACACACACCCGACAGATGTATTTTATTTTTAGGTGGGGCACACAATTGAACCGATTCTCCTGCAACACTTAAAATTTTTCTCTCCTCTCACTTCCAACTAGAATACATGGTCTAAAAAACCGTACAAAAATCACTGATGAAAATGCTCTAATGGTAATAAAAATGCCTGTAAAAGTACAGTTCCTATGATATTCATTCATAATTGTCCTCTGATTTCACCTCAAGCTAATAGGCTAATGTCTAAATAAACTCATTTGTCATTTCTCACAGCATACAAGAAACCAATACAAATTATTGAGTAATATCAAAGTAGCTATGAATTAATAGAACAAATCATTCCATATTTGAGAGAGAGAGAGAGAGAGACATCCAAAAATATGTTAAAGCAGAGCAAAAAACAAAAGAAGATGATGTTGGCCCTCCGGAGCTCATGCCTTCTGTTTCCCTTTTCTAAGCTTTTCTAGTTCCACTTCCGCATCTTTCAATTGTTCCCTTAATACAGATACCCGTTGCTCCAGCTCTTCAACCGAGCCTCGGACAAGAGAAGGTTGGTATGGTGTTGTAAAATTGTGCGAAAATGCCTTGAGAGCTTCAACACCACAAACCTACAAATGATTGGGAGGGAAACTTCGGATGCATATCAAAGCTAGGCTTGCAAAACTCGCAACACTAAATAGCCTTTTGCAAGATATATATATATGCATATAGTGTCTAGTTTGTGGGAGCCTTTACGGTGCCTTTCGTGACCATACCGTGTGCTTTGTAGAGTTGTATCTTTCGTTTTGCAAGAGGTACTAGAGGAGGGAGTACAACTTTAATTTACCTACCAATTACAAGTTACCTACACAGCACGGTAGGTACTGAAAGGCACCTTAGATTTCCCCTATGCTGTTTATTAGTGTGTAACGAAAACTGTTAAAAATATCATATAGATAACTAAGATAAGGCCTTAGGGAAAGTGACACTTTTTCCCTTTGAATTATATGTTTATAGCGTTTTTTCACCCTGAATTATTCCGCTCAATCATTTTTTGAAGTGATGATTTTTCCTCCTCCATGATAAATAGGTTTTTAGATTGTTAAAAAAAAAAAGGGCAAATTAGGTAATTCAAGTCACTTTCCTTCTCCAAAAAATTATTGCTTATATGTAGGAATCAGAATAAATGCAAAAAAAACAGACACCATTTGTAAATATTATAATTATAATTTTAAACTAATGTCAGTAATAGAATTAAGACTTAAACACAAATTTAGCAATAATGAATTATTTGTGTTTAAGTCTTAATTATGTTGCTAGCATTAGGTTAAAATTATAATTATAATATTTGTAAATGGTATTTGTTCTTTTTCGCGTTTATTCTGATTCTCACATATGAGCAATAATTGGTTGGAGAAGAAAAACAAATGAAATACCTATTTTGCCCTTATTTTTAACCATTCATTAGCCTATTTAACAGGGAGGGAAAAAATTGTCACTTGAGGATGCAAATGTGGATACATGAATAATTCAGGAGGAAAAATGCTATAAGTATATAATCCAGAGGGAAAAGCGCTATTTTCCCTAAGCCTTAAGATATTTTACATAGAGGATCTCCATACCTCTTGTGGCAGCAAAGGCAATTTAGTAATGTTGAAGTCATCATATAAAATGTAGAACTGATTTAAGTACTTTTCTTGCATCCGCATTCTAGCCTTGAGCAACTTGGACTCGACAGCTAGCAACAAACAATCAAAAGGTCCACAAAAATTATTAGTTTCATTTATTCATAGGAAGTCGTACTACATAAAAGATCGCTAGCGCTAGGCGCCTAGTGCCTAGGCGGGCGAGTAATAATAATAAGAAAAACACAGTAGTGTACACATTGCGCACACACACAAAACACTTGGCCGAGTTGGGTGCCGAGTTGCTGATTGACGGATTGACCTGACTCGGGAGCCAGTTTGGCCGACTCAGGCGCCCCTAAGGGTAAAATCGCCTTGGCCTAGGGGCGCCTAGGCCGATTTTTACAACAATGGCAAAGATCAAATACACGGTACCAAAATTGTGAACATATGAATAGTACCTTCGTCTTGAAAAATCACTTGGTTAATAATGATGTTGTGTGTATCAATATCAAATTTCGTGAGTTCCTGCACAAGCCTTTCAGTCTCATACAGCGACAAGAATTCCGGAATGCAAACACAGACAAATGTCGTCAAGTCCTGTTAAAAGAGAGGTCGGTAAAATGTCAGGCCAAAATGGCAAGATCACTCGGGGTATAATGCACACGGGTCAAACCACACTAAAAGATTGAATCCAATCAATTAATAATCCATATATTCTCTCTTATTTTTTCAATGTGGGACTCTTAACATTTGCAAACCTTACTACACGCTTCTGATTCCCTTAGAGTGACACTTTATTAGCACAGTTTTTAACTCAATTAAGTAGTCCGCCATATATAAAATGTAAAGAAGGTCCTCCTTGGAAAATGACCATTCTAAAGAAACTTCTTACCGGATCCTTGAACTGCTTGTTAACTTTTTCAATTATCTCTTTCATCCCCTCGAGCCTTCCAAGGATAGCATCCTCACCATATTCACTACCAACGCCTAAGAGACTAGTCACCTGCAATAAAATAAAATAAAATAAAAAATCATAATTGCCAGACTATTCAAGCTTACAAAACCAGAAATTCATATTTGCACTCACAAACATGGTGTCACTATTTAAGCTTACGTGAGTCATAAAATCATACATAAAAAACGCTCAACAGCTGACTGCATTGAGGTTATTATGTGACTGTTTCAGGTTTAAAAACAATGTTTTTTTTTTACAAATACACAAGAATAACTGAATAAGTATGGAGGATTAAGTGGAAATCCGCCACATTGGATCAGTCAGTGTTAGATTAGTAATTACACTTTCTCATCACCCAATGTGCAGAATATTAGTTATCCATGGTCAGATTACTTAATTAGCCTAAGCCTACACTCTAGGCCTATAGGTCATTCAGATGGCTTAGGATCCCATGAGAACACACACCCAAGAGAAAACTAAGAACCAATCTCAGTCTTACATCATAGGAGGATGGGTGCATACCTGATTCAACACGCCACCAAAGCTGTTCTTCAATCTCATCATTTTTCCAAGGCCTTTCTCCAGTGTTGATGGAAATTGTAATAACCGGAGTGTGTGACCCGTTGGAGCAGTATCAAATACTATAACAGAATAATCCATAGTTTGCACTAATCTGAAAAAGAACTTCGCATACTGATTTAATATATCGGCACCAAGGGGTGGGATACATCATATGTACCAAAGGAAACAATAGTTCGTGAACTCTGAAGAATTTCACATCACAAATAATCCTTTTTGCTCCTCCCTAACCCCAACACTCATCCCCCAAACCAATAAAAAAGACAGATTCTTTGGCATCCATAAGGTCACGAGTTCGAATCCCAGTCTTCTTGGTTTGAGCCAGTCAGCTATGGGCTACCTAGGTTGGTTTACCTCCTTGTGGTCCTTTGCCGGCTAAGGTCACAAGGCGGGGTTAACCCCATACACACCCTCGGGTAGTGGCTGCGGGTTTCTCTTGTCACCCCAAAAAATAAAAAAGAAAGATTCTTTCATCCCTAGGTAAAGAAATACAAACGAGAAATTTGTGAAACTCATCCAATATTTGAAACCTAAACATCTCTAGTTCTCTATACATAATGCTTACAAATCATTACTTTCCTTCTTATGAAATAAGTTTTCAAGTTCAAGAAACTGTTAATTACACATGTAAGTAAACTATCAGATTAGCTTTGCATTCCATTTAAAACACGATCTAACAGAACTTCCTTAACACTAGGAAATAAAATTAGAAGTCAATAACATTTGCATAGAACCACAAGACTTACTTTAGCATCTCAGCAAAACTCATTGCCTCATCAATCCCAGGAATTGCATTTGCTAACTCAGACAAAAATCCATCCATTCCATCCGATCCAACCGTGTCTTCATTCTCAACATTTGGATCAACTTCCTAAAGAAAAATAAAATAAAATCTACCCATAAAACCATGATGCATAACAGTATATTAAATTCGTTAAGACAAGATTCAAAATGCAATAAAATCTGATAACCATTGTTCCCCATATAAACCAAGATGCCCAAGAACTGCAAAAACAAAGCAAATTAACAAAATAATAGCATTTCACTCATTCAACTAAAAGTCAAACTTCAAACTCAAACTTCAAAATGGAAAACTATGCTAGTAAACATGTTTTCTGTTTTCTATTCTCCAATTTTCTGGAAAACTGGAGAAATTCTCCAGTAAGTAAACGAGCCCTAAATGTTTAGTTGTTGTTTTAGTTTACAAAATCTAATACTGATGTAGAAACCCACACCAGCAAATAACAATAACAATAGCAATAACAAAAACTTGGTCATCAAAACAGAATGAAACTTCAAAACCATGAACATGGTATCACTAAAACTCTGTAAAAATCCAAAATTTAACTTTAGCTACAAATATGAATTTCAGATCATTCAAAATGCCGAGGGATGTGAACCTATCATCAGGTATTGGTGTTATTATTCAAATTTCAGAGAAACTAACCTTTACTCTCAAATATTAGCCCCATCATCCCAAACCATAACCCAAGTAAACCCAACCAAAAAAAAAAAAAAAAAAACACAAAAGATAGGTCCCTTGTTCAAATTCATTAAAGAATTAGAATATTGAATAACCAATTTTAAAAAGCCCACCTGTAATCATAACGGCAAAATTAGGACTCAAATACAGCAAATAATCAAATACTGTAAACAAAACAAGATCTAAGAAAGCAACTACTGAAGAAATCAAGAAACTGTACCATGGCATAAAGATTGGAGAAGCCATTGACGAGGGTGGGAAACTTAGTGAATCGCTGCTGGAAAGCGTCGCTGAGATTGTGGGCAGGGTCTGTAGAGATGATGAGCACAGAGGATCGGACCTGAGCGAGTAATATACCAAGAATGGAGCTGCAAGTGGTTTTCCCAACCCCACCCTTCCCCCCTACAAAAACCCACTTCAATGTATCCTGCTCTAAAATATTCTGCACTGAGCCTTCTAGAGTATCGGCCATGAATAAGGTCCCTTCTCTACTCGTTTTGCTCTGCTCTTCTAGCGTTGAGATTTAGACAATAACCCAAAAACAAAGAACGGCAGAATTTCCTGGGTTTCGCTGGAAGAGATCTCTTACCTCTTCTATGCTGTGACAAGATCCTACTAGGTCTTTACCTTGCTCTTTGTTTATTTTGTCCAAACTCCTGAAAGCCAGGTTCAATGTCGTTTCCACTCTTACTTCGTTTTTATGAATTGTAGCCCGAATTTTTATGATTAATTCCGCTCATGCCCAAGAAACTTTTTTGGCAAATGGTTAAGTACTTAAGTTGCAGTTATAAATACTTGAGAAAATTTTTAGAATATCAAAAACATACCGCAGTTATTATTACAACTTTTTTAATATATACATACATATATATATATATATATAGGGTGGCCTTCATGTAGGAACCACTCAATAGGTGAGAACATAAGAACCCATCCCAGCCTTTGGATCTAAGTCAATTAATTATTAATATAAAGGATTCAAAAGGTTTTAAGAGTAATTTTAGCACCCTAATAATTTTGAATTAAATAATAACATTGATTAGATCCCTAGAATTTAGGCCAACAAGAAGGAATATACTGGGACTCTAATTCAGTGATACATTCGGACTCTAATTCAACGCTATCCACACCCATTCCAGCGCTACGACCGTCGACGAATTACAGAGACTGCATCCAACCCCGGCAAACTACGTGAAACGACCAAGAAACTCACCGGAAACAATGGCGGCAACAAACAACAACGAAAGTAAGTCCCCTGAAACCCCATTACGGTGTTTGTCATCCGATTGTTGAATTAAATAGAACTTGGACTGCTGAATTCTGTTATGCAAGCCGGCAGATGAGTGGAACGGCACACCCTGCGGCACTAAAGTGAACAGACGGAAACCGCCGCCCCCTGCTGTGTGCCGACTAATTTTAATGTACAATTCCGGGGCATTGTATGTACCCTACGCTCGTAATTACAGAGTAGCATGTGTGCACATATGTGATTAGATACGTGCCAATTAGGGATGAAACCCAAATCTCTGCTCCAGATGCGGCGTGTGTGCTTATACGTGTTCTCGAATGTGCCAAACTGGTCAATACCCCACAATAGGAGTGCATAATGGCTCAAACCTAAGATCCAAATCGGTTTCCAAAATTTTGTATTAATAACAATTTGTCTGCTCTACAGATGAACCCTGCTCAACAGGGTGTGTTATCAACATCTCTCCTGGCACAACGAAGTACTGGACTCCACAGTGTGAAGCCACCAAGAAGCCTTTCGCGGGTCAAGTGTTTACTAGTTTGGAAGCTGCAATTCAGTTTTACCAAACTTACGCAAAGAGTACTGGTTTTGACGTGCGTCGTGCATCCGAGGAAAGGGACCCGCATGGAAAGATCACATGGAAGTATGTGTTGTGCTCACGTGCAGGCTTCAGACTTCCTACGGGCGAGGGGGATGGCGTAGGCATACTGACAACTGATCACAAGAACACAACTAAAAGGCGCCATGTCACAAACAGAGTGTGGTGCAATGCAAAAATAGTATTCAAGAGATTAGATAGTGATACTTTTGAGGTAAACTCAATCGAGGAACGCCACACCCATTCATTATGCACACCCATTTATAGACCATTCATGAAGGCAAATCGAAAACTTGCAGCCAAGGGGGTAAGGAAGTGCCGGACATGCAACACATACGGACACCATGATAGTCGCAACTGCGAGTTACGGACGAAGACCACATGTCACAAGTAGGAAAACCGAACTATGCACTTGAGACTAGGATCGTGTGCCTGACTGATGTACTGCCAATTATTTTCTTCACATTCTTTAATGATGTATTTGTGTACAGATAACTAGCTACTGACTCCATTTATCATAGCAATATATGTGTTCACGTGAATCAATTAATTCAATCTGTCTTAAATTAGCTAGTGTGGACCGAGTCAATCGATTAAACAGCATGTGCACATGAGAAAACACGTGTGTGCCATTCTGCCAAATGTAACCACCAACAATTGTTAATACTAGAACGTGTGCACCGGATACCAAACTTGTGTGCCATCACGTCCTATATACTTGTAGCCACCCCCTAGGTGCACGCACAGTCAACAGTATGTGCCACTCTGGTCAGACCGTGCCAAAGCTGTCGTTAGGGCCAAAACTACAGTTGTTGTGCTATCGCGTAAAACTACGTGTGCCAGAGTGGTCAGTATAACTGGCCAAAACAACGACCACTCATAAATGAAGAGTAAGAACCCAAAAAAATAGAAAATTCGAATACAGAAACAATAAAAACAAACATATTCACCGCACATACCCACATGACCGAGGCTGATACGCTAATCAAAGAACAGAGATAATAGTGTGCACATGAGAATACACGTGTGTGCCATACTGCTAAATACACCTACCAACAATGGTTACTACTAGAACTTGTGCACTGGATACCAAACTTGTGTGCCATCACGTGCTGTATGGTTGTAGCCACACCCTATGTGCACGCACATTCAACAGTATGTGCCAATATGCTCAGACCGTGCCAAAGCAAACGTGAAGGCCAAACCTAAAGTAAATACTGTCTTGTGTGAACTGGATACCAAACTTGTTTGCCATAACGTGTTGTATAGATGTAGCCACACCCTATGTGCCCGTACATTCAATAGTATGTGCCATTCTGGTCAGACCGTGCCAAAGTGGCCGTTACGGCCAAAACTAAAGTCATTGTGCTCTTGCACAAAACTACGTGTGCCAGAGTGATCAGACGGACCGGGCAAAACAACCACCACACATAAATGAAGAGTAAGCACCCAGAAAAATAGAAAATTCTATACGGAAACACTAATAAGGAACATATTCACCGTGCATACCCACATAACCTAGGCTGGTACGCTAATAAAGGAACAAAGATAATAGTGTGCACACGGTAATAGACGGGTGTGCCAATATGACAAATGCATCCACCAAGAATTGCAAATACTAGAACATGTGCACTGGATACCAAACTTGTGTGCCATAATGTGTTGTTTTGTAGTAGCCACACCCTATGTGCACGCACATTCAACCGTATGTGCCATTCTGATCATACCATGCCAAACCGGTCATTACGGCCAAAACTATAGTTGTTGTGCTCTTGCGTAAACCTACATGTGCCAGGGTGGTCGGTACAACTGGACAAAAAAACCACCACTCATAAATGAAGAGCTAGGATGATATGCTAATCAAGAAACAGAGATAATATTGTGCACACGAGAATACATGGGTGTGCCATTCTGCCAAATGCAACTACCAAGTATGGTTAATACTAGCACGTGTGCACAAGAACACCAAATTGTGTGCCATTATGTGCTGTACAGTAGAAGCTATGCCCTGATGTGCACGCATGTTGGACAGTATGTGCCAGTATGTTTTGACTGAGCCACAACAGTTCTACAGAGCAAACTTTAGTTGGTATACACATGAGTTCAACTAATGTACAAGCATGAATTGTTCTGACTAGTGTCATAGCACGGATGGTGCACTCAAGCTCATGTGCACTGGGTTAAAAATTTGTGTGCCATCATGTATCAGCAGAATCACCCAACATTCGTAACGGAAAAATAGACGCAGAAAAACAATATAAATTAAAATAGGCCACGGTACCAAAAAACATATTCACCGAACATAACCAAGTGAACTAAACTAAACTACTAATCAACTCGTTGCTAAGAAACATAAAGCATAAACTATCTTTGTTCGATTGGATCATGGTATTGGACTACACTCCGAATGTTCTTCGAATGGTGAGCATTAATCTCATTCGTCAAAATTCGCCGCATATAAGACATCCTCAACAACTCAAGACCCCTAGTATCACCCCTTTGTAGACCACAATCCCATGCATTCACCGATTGCCCCAAAAAAGACTCCATATGTCGCATTGCAAATACCCCACAATCCACTTTGTTACGAGCATCACGCCAGCGCATCTGCATCCTTCTCGGGATAATCCTCCTTATAACAGCCCCATATCGCAAATCAACCTCATCATCAAGGAACACAGACAACAAATCTTGCTGCAACCAGTAAAAGAGCACAACGAAACAAGGTTAACTTAATGATATGGATAAACCACCAATAGGGTCAAGACGAGTGTGCACACAGGTATACACGGGCGTGCCATACTGTCCGAGCAGCCATCAACGTTCATTTGCAATTCTACTTGGTGTTCATATACAACTTGAGGCTCCTTACCTGCATAGACTGTTGGGGTGCAATGAATATACAAAATACAAAGAATATATACACATATAAATGTGTACAATTGCACATCCCTATCCCACTTTGATTATCAGCAATGCTAAATATATACAATAGTAATAAGAAAAACAAAAACAAATGATGAATTCCTTTTTCGCTATTATTTTAAAATTACTTGTCAATCATGGTTAATTAAACAAACAATTAAGTATTAGTTAATAAACACTAGCAAAGTGAACTTTTGAAGATATTATTATGTGATGAGGAAAGTCATGAATGTTGTGGCAAAAGAATACATGGCAGAGAACTGGCTTCCACAACACAAAAGAATAGATTTGAGATTCTGATTAATACCATTCATGACCAAAAAGATGTATGTTGCATCATCGCTATTTCCGCTTCATTCCTTCTATGGCCCGAACCTGTCCATCACTGCGTTCCCTCCAACGCCGTATTGAGATTTGCCACCCAATTTCTTTCTCTTAAATCTCTTCCCACTTTTGTTTCTGGTTTCTGATCCTTTCTGACCGCCATTAATGGTGTTTGAGTTAGTTGGCTTAGTAAAGTTCAATTTTTGCTCTCGTTTTGTGTCTGTATTTGTGTTTGAATCTAAATCCACCATCGTAGAAGTAGAGAAAGTAGGGAACCAGAAGAGAAGATCTCGCAATATCTTTAATTCACAAAAATATTATGCACTAAAATACCTTAAATACCCATAACTACCTAAAATAAATAAGAATCGGCCATAAAATTCCATAAAAATAAAATTTAATCTAAACCATTGATCACCCTAAATAAAAGGCTAAGATTAGTTCCTATGTTCCTACCTAAAGATGGGTTCTCATATGATTGTAATTCTATATATATAGGGAAGGGTTCAGGTGCGGCTATAGCTTCCCGTGTGGTTGTGCGGTTAAATCTGAGCAGTTAATCAAATTTAGATCAACGGCTCAAATCAATGAAAATTAAAAAAAAAAA